TCAATTTGCTACTCTTGTAGGCTATGCCTCAATGAAACTAATTTCTCCTATTTTTTTTCTACCAACCTAGTTACTATCTCACTCTCCTACTAAATACAATTTAGTATAATTTAACGACCATCCCCCTAATTTAGATCTACCTTATAAGAAATTCAGTATCTGTCAAACTGAATGGAATGTTAAAGGATATTTGTTTCCAACAGTCTACAAATATATATTTCTAATTGGTAACTGGCACTTTACTGGTCAAAGCTGGGAGATGAAGATACCAGAACAGATCACCCGTCCCCCGACCAACCACTTCCTCCTCTTCCACATGTGTCATCAATCAGAACTTCCCTTTCCCTTCCTTCATCTCACCCAGCCACTCTCTCCAATGGAAGCTGCTGTCCTTCACTCTCATTAAAATGAACAGCACCGTGACTCCTTCTCAATTCCTCTATTTCAATAGCCTCCCATTAAACCTAGACAATCCCAAGTTCAACCCTAAATCTCTCAAGCCTGCTATACCTGCACTGACCTATTTATTTTTCCTCCTCCCTTAAAGCTACCAAAGTTTGCTAGAGCAAATAACATAAACATGTCTGTTTGCTCTAGGTCAGTTCAAGTTATATATCTTCATTTAGTCTAAAGTGCTGCCACGAAACACTACCACGTTCCTCACAGTAGCTGCTCTACAACTTTTCCATTTTCTTCAAGATTTATCCTTAAATATTCAAGAAGAAGAACCATAACAAATCTAGAAGAGAGTGACCACAGTATCTCCATGCTATGACATCCTGGAAGGGAAGGCTGTGATTATAAACTCTAGACTTTAGGACAGGAGATTTCACAAAGGTCTGAGAAAATATAGGCATGAATTCCACTGCAGGACTTTCTAAAGGGAAAGATGATTTAAGAGGGTTGGGAAGCTCTTAAAACTGTAAATCTGATTACATAATTACAGATCATTCCAGTAAGGAAGCCACTGTGGCTTTTTAAGTATCTTGGACAAAAGCCTAGTACTAAATAGGAAAAGTATTAAATATGTTGTGATGCATAACAAAAAGCAGTGATCCCTCAAAGCCAGCAAGGGTTCACTAAGAACGATTACCTTCAGGTTTTTGCTAGCATTATAGGATGAAGAGTACAGAAAATGTGACAGGTGTGTTGTACAGAAGTAAACAAGGCTGAACTGAGATATCTCATGACAGTTCTGGGAACAAGATGAAAAATAACTTTCTAACACCCAAAGGTCTCCAGTACTGTAATAGTCTTTGGGCTGTCCATCACAGGAGGCACCAAAGTGGCACGAGGGGTGCCAGAGAAGCAATGCTTGCCCGGAAGGGGGCACCAAGATTGATGGCCTCCTTAAGGCCATTGAACCAGCCAGCAAACGTTCACTGAGTATCCTTGTCCTAAAGGAACTCATGCCCAAGTAAATAACTTTCATAAGCAATTACAATACAAACAGGCCAGAGTGATAATAACAGTAGTATTACAGACTATGGGAGCACCCAGGAGGGAGGAATCAGGGAACATTTTTCAAGTAGACAATGGAGTTAAGTTTAAAAGTGGAGTATTTCACTAAACAAATAGCAGGGAGAGGAGAAAGCCACTGCTGGGAAAGGAAGTGTGGTGTGTAAGAGTCTGGAGCTACGAACACACACAGCCAGCCTGGGAAACAGCAAGCAATGAGGCATAAGAGAAGGGCATGGTAGGAGCTGAACCTGCCCGCAGTACACTGTGGTTCAACACCATTGTCATCTCCCCAACGACACTCAAGTCAGAGGTCTGCAAGTTCATCCACAGTTCTGTCCTTCTCATTCATGCCCCATTTCTAATTGGTGAGCACATCTAGGGGATTTCACCTCCCTTATCTCCCCTGAATCTTGTCACTCTTTTTGCTTCCTTCACTGCAACCCATTTACTCCAGGTTCTCCCCGTCTCCTCTCTGTTAATATGATAGATTGTGAGGACTGCTTGCCTTCAGTCACGTCCCCTCCTGTCTACTCCAGACTCTCAGGCAGAGTGATCTTCCAGCAAAGGGGCTTCCGTTCTCTCAGGAACAATCCTAGATTTCTCCCTTCACCCACCTCCTCTAAACTTCCCGAAAACGACTTTATTCCTATATTCGACTTCATACGATAATTAGAGGTCAAAGAGACAGGCCATTCAATCTGTTTACTTTATCCACACTTGTTCCCAGAGACTCAAGTCCCACACAGTCCCTACCAATTGGGCGGTGGGCCATGGGACCTTGGACCACTACCTCTGGTTAAAACTACTGATCAGGGCAAATACCTGTCTCAGGCTAGACCGATAAGATTTTTCTACCCTAGAAATTCTGTATCGTGACCTAGACTTCAGGATGTGACCTGCAGAGGACTGGCAGTACCACTGGGGGCTGTGTAGGCTACTGACAGGTAGCCGGCTGCTGTGTAGAGAGAGGCAGAACAATCCAGCTCACGTGCAGACAGGGGTACAGAAAAGATGCCATGTGGTGGTGGGACTTGTCAGGGTCGTTGAGAGAGCAGCTGTGATTCCTCTGCCACCTTGTGAGTTCTGAGATCCTCATGAGGCCTGCCTCCATTTCCTGCCCTTGGTTTTAGGAGAACCACCAGTTTCTCATACTAATTTCCACTTTTATTTAAATTAGCTCAAGGAGGATTCCATTTCTTAGAGTCAAATTAATCCTATGACACTTATGTACAGTCCCTCTGCGTTAGGCTATTGTTTCTTTGAATAAAAAAAACCATACCCTGTTTACCGTTGTATTTCTCACACAGTGACTTACACACAGTTGATCAACACCTGTCTCCTGAACTGAATTTAACTGCAGAAGAAGTAAATGACTTTGGACTTAAATAATGGGTAGCAATTACACAGACAGAAGAAGTTCAAAACTTTTACGAGCAGAGTGCAGGGGCAGGGAAGAAATTCAGAGGGAAGCCACTTTGGCTAAGCTCAGTTTTCAGGCATAGTTTCTGGGGAAGTTAACCACAAACACTCACATCCATGGCAAGTACTACCTTCACACTCCTGGTCAAAACCTGGCAAAGATGAGAGAGGAAACCCAGGCAGTCCTAGCACAGCATGTTCTGATTGGGAAGCCTTGACCTTAGTTCCTAAAGATCAGTAGTGACAGCCAGAGCGAAATGGCAAAGGTGGGACCCCCACCAGGCCCAACAGCTGCGGCCCGCACCCCTCAGGAGAGACACGGCATCTGAGGACTGTATCATGAAAACCTACCACATTTTCTTGCTTTCTTAAGATAAGTTCTCTCTTCTTCACAAAGATCTTAAAAGGCATATTTACAAAATGGCAAATTCTAACGTCTTTATACTAAGTGTTCCATCTAAGTATATTTTTATTTTGAGAAGTACATGATTAATATATGGCTATTATTTTAGAATGATCTTTCTTTACATTCAGCAAATATTCTTGCTGCTTCAAAGGCTTGACTCCTTTTTCAATTGTAATTTACCCACAAGAGTTCTTGATGAAGTAATGGCTCAGCTGTGAAAAAGGAACCTGTAAGACCATTCCAGCAATAAGAGAAACTCACATCATAAAGATTTCTTGACTACGCCCATACAACTCGATAACTAAGGAAGTAGTCCAATCAAGTATACACAATGGGATATGACAGAAAGGCAGATAAAAGACAAGGCTGGATTTCCTGCTGTGATGGGAAGTCTTCCCTTTTCGCTGCCAGGCAGAGTGCAGCCGGCACAATCAACAGGGGCCAGGTGGCGCAGACATTATCAGGCCATTTGGAGTTGATGGTGAGAAACTGGCAAGCCTCAGAGAAGGGCTAGTTAGGACTCAAGGGGTTGACGTCACTTCTGGATAATGAGTTAGGCATAAAAATGATATTGCGATCACTCCACTTAAGAGGAAGAAAAGCAAAGAAAAGAAAGTACAATTGTTTCTGAGTGGCCCTGAGATCATATTATTCACATTGATCTCCATATCACTGAAAAAGTGGCACAGGACAGTATCTCTTAAATGGCATGGGGTGGGACACACGGATTTGATTTGGCTTCCTTTGCTAGGCATAAGAGGCTAAGGATAGAACAGATCCAATGAAAGTGGTACATTGTGGCCATGCCTTCAGTGTTGGCCCTCATAACCACAGGACACTCCCAGAAGGGCCAGTCCCGTACAAGTCAGATGACTAACAAGCAAGTCACCAAACTGGCTTAAAAGTAAGTGTGAGAACAAACTTTTCTAGCTTGTACACCTTTATTTTTATTTTGTGTGAAGCATAAACCAGGCTCCATCCATAATAAAGGGATAAAAATATAGCTAAAATTTATCATTGTTTTTCTTTCAAAATGAATACAGTTGTAAGAAAACAGGTACTGCATTTGATCAAACAGCTGGGTCCAGCAGTTTCTTCAGATCAGAACTGTTCAATTGGCTACCCATGATGATCTCTGACTACATAATCTACATTTAAGTTAGATTGGCTCCTGACAGCTTCCATGAAAATAGGGTACCCTTTCCTACTTACGGTCAGGTAATTTAATTCTTAATGCCCTAAGTAAAACCTCCTTAGGATCAATACCAAAAAGCACATCATTAAAATACACCTTCATGTTTATAATTTAAAGCATGGAAGACTGGGGGCCTCTGAAATGCCTGGAATTTTGCATATTTTAACACTAGCGTCTAAAAGGAGGAGTCTGGTTGCTTGATGCAATAAATTCTTTGGAGTTCACAGGTACAAACAGGATTCATGACATAATAGGAAACAAGGAGAAGCTCAGAACGTGCTTATATTTTATGCCCCAAACCAAAAATAAAGTGACTGCCTGGCAATTCAAGGAACCTATAGGTGACCGGTCAAGGGGGTAGCTAAGAGCAATTTCTGAAAAACTCGGACCCAAATATGTCAAGTACCCATGTTTTAATCAAGAAATAATAATTAAAATACACAAAAAAAGTTTACCAAAAGGCTACCTAAACCGACTTCCATCTGGGATCTGTGGTTTTTCTTGCCAAAGGTCACCTACCCCAGGGCAAAATTGCTGTCCTCCTTCCAGTCCACGATGCGGCAGATGAACAGTGTGTTGGCATAATCTTTAGGCCGGGTCACAAAGTCCTGGGGACAATCCTTGAGAGGCACATAAATTCTAGGCACTCGGTGGTCCGAGGGAGAAAACAGGGCATATTTCCTAAACAGTTCACTGTTCTTATCAGCCAAGAGTTTGAGAAAGCCCGTTGCTGCTCGGGAATGTTTTTTGTCCAAGATGTAAACCACCTGAAAACACCAAAGATAGAGTCAAATGTTGTTTATCTACAGCACTGGATAACAGCTGGGAGAAGTCAGCAGGATATTATTTGGTCAACTAGCTGGGCCTGCAGTTTTTCTAGGTCCAAATGAAGTGCTGCTTGCTGAGGCTCCGTGACTTAAGTAATCCAGGTTTAAGCTGCAACAACTTAAGGGTCCAGTGAGCATATTTATCCAATGAAAACTATGCAACACAAGGATGAATTAGATGGAAGTGTTTTTATAACTGACACCTACGTCTCAAGGACATTCGGAAGACTCCAGAAGGGAAGTATGGCTCCAAGTATCTGCTCTGCGTTACATTTTCCCCACGTGAACACAGCAGTTGCTTTTTAAAAATGTTACTGAATATAAACAAGGAACTGGTCTTTAGTATGCCTTTTGAAGCTGAAAACCTTTAAACCTTCCTTCTTTCCAACATTAAACCCACTCTCTCATTTCACCAGGCAAAGACTCAGGCTACCACATCACTACAAGGACAGACTATTTCCACCAAGAGAGAAGCATTCTTGAAGAAAGCAAATCCCCTCACCCTCACCCACCCTGGGATGTTCCTCTTCCTGAAGCGTTCCCTCCAGCCCCCACGGACATTCTGCGCTTTGACCCCATTCACTGGAAGTATTCGCCAGCGTTCCACTTTGACCCCGGAGCACAGGTTCGGACAGCTGTTGAGCCGGCTGCTGCCCTTGTTCATGTCTCAGACTCCGTAAGGGCATTCAGCCTGTCCAGGGAGAACCTCCAGCCAGTCAGTGTGCCTCTCCTCTGCCCCAGGCACACCTGGCTGCCGCCCCACAAGGCACCTGTCCTCTCGTCCAGTCTCAGTCCCACGATAGGCTCTACATTCTCCTGACTCTTCCTTCCCCCTTGGAAAACACCATTCTGTTTTCAACAAGCTCTTGTGCCCTCTGTCAAGAGTCCTTGACCTGGTCCTCGCGTGTGCTTCTCTGTCACAAGGACTCTGTCTGTCCCAGGCCCTTTGGACAAAGGTTGCTCCTTCTCCACACACAGTCCCTCAATGAGGCATCTTTGTTTTCCTGTGCTGCACAGTCACACCCAGACCATTTACTTTTCTTGCCTCGTGCATACACCTGCATCCTTTGATGGTTCAGGCTGTCCCCTTCTTGTTACTGTCATCCATGGACCTCCTAGTCACTCTGCAACACCTGGCCTACATTTCCAGGTGAATGACTCAGCCAAGATCTATCTTGTCCTTACAGCCCCCGTATTTCTTCAATGCTGGTGGCCTTCCCTTCCATTTGATTTTAGCAACTCATCCTCATGGCCTCAGCATCCTCTGGGACTGATCCAGTCCTGACGGTCTCAGACTGACCTGCATCCGGTTCCCTTATTCTTCTGTGCCCCTCCATGACTTCTTCACCACATCAAGACCACTAGCGCCTTAACCCTAGCCTGTTGTCTGTGTCTGTTTGCTACTTCTTAGGCCTGAATCCCTTCCTACCTCTGAGGGACACACCACGTTCTGTCACTTCTGGTCCTCTCACCACCGTCGTGAGATGCCTCACCCCTCTTGCCCTTTCCACTGCACCCACCCTAAGAAATCCTCAATTCTGAGACAGTTCAGCCACTGCTCTTCTCTACTTCAACACAAGCTACCGAGTCCGTCAAGACAGAATTACAATGACACAGATGAATACCATTACACACTCATGTTATACAATTGTTGCTCTAATCTCAAAATCTCTAGTATTTTTTACCTGTTCCCTGTCAGCACAATCTACAAGCCCCACTCTCTTGGTGATCCTCTCCTTCTAGGACTCCAATTATTTGAACGCTGAATCTATTGTATTGCCCCACAACTTCCTGAAGCTCTGTTCATTTGTTTCAGCCTATTTTCTTTCCGTCCAGATTGGGTAAATTTTACTGATCTGTTCCCAAGTTAACTCATTTTATGCTGAATCACCTCTACTCTCCTACTGAGTTCATCCTAAAAGTATTTTATTTCTGTCTGTATCTTTTAGTTTTATAATTTCCAACTTGGTTCTTTTTTTTTTATAACTTCTACTTCTTTGCTGAGATTTTCTATTTTCTCATTTGTTTCAAGAGAATTTCTAATGTTTGAAGCATTTGTTTCAAGAGAATTTCTAATTGTTTTTTGACTGATTTAAAATCACTGTCAGATAACAGTAACATCTCACTGTTGGCATCAGTTGTCTCTCTTCAGGCACGTGACAATGTCCTAGTTCTTGGTATAATGAATGATTTTCTATTGTATCCTGGACCTTTTGGATATTATAAAAGGAGATTCAAGGTCTTATTTAAATCTTTTAGAAGGCAGGCCACTCTGTCTAGATGTAGCACACGGGGCCTGGACTACTCTTGTGGGCTGTAGTTCCAATGATAATTTAATTGTCAGAGACTGCAATTCTCTTTTTATTCTTCTCCTTTTTCTTTTTTTGAGAGAAAAAGAGATGCAGAGTCAGAGGGAGTGAGAATCTTAAGCAGGCTCCACGCCCAGCACGGAGCCTGACGCAGGGATCAATCCCACGACCATGATCACCTGAGCTGAAATCAAGAGTGAGATGCTTAAGCGACTGAGCCACCCAGGCGTCCCTTTGCAGTACTATTTTGGTATGTTTCGTTGGCATGGAACCAGTGGGGCTCCGGCAGGTCTCTGCTGGTACTGCCTGAGGGCACGGAAAGAACTTCCTCGGGGCTGGCCACCTGGACTCTCTAATATGGATTAAGAACAAATCCCAATCTGTGTCCGTGCAGAGACAAAGAAACTTCCCACTTAACGATTTTCGTTGTGGTAGGACCCCCTTTACCAGTGCCGCCTGACCACCCAGTGTCCCTGGGTAGGAAAGTGGCGTCTCAGACCCATGAGATAAATGAGGATAAAGGTTTCCTGGACCACACACCTGCTGCGGCAGGATCTCCTTTAATGGTTCTCCAGCCATCTGCTACCCCGGGATGGGGGGCAGGGAGGAGGGAAACCTCAGGCCCAAAGAGACAAAGAGGCTTCCGGGGCTGGGCCACTTCTTTGGCAGAACCCCCATGCCAGAGCCACCCAATGTCCGGTGTCTCTTGGTCTTCTTGGGAGAGAAGTCTCAGGTGTGGCAGGGAAGGGGGGCCTTTGTCCTGGCCACTTATTGTCAGCAAGGCTCCCACTCAATCCCTCTTAAAGGTACTGTCAGGACCGCCTGGTGTTGCTGGAGGGACTCCTGCTAGATCTGAGTGAGGAGCGAGTCTGCCTGGGCCACCTTCTGTTGCCAAGTTAGATCCAGAAACACTGGGCCCAGTGTCCTTCTGTTGGTGGAGGGGTTGTAAAGTTCTCTGCTGCCATGTTGTTCTCTAGTCTTTGAGGCCCTAACTAGCCTGCCTTCCTCTCTTCACCTTTCAGAATTCATCTATGGTTGCCTCTCATTATTTGCCAGGGTTTATAGTTACACTAGTGGGAAAGAGCAAGGAGAAACAAGTCTATGCCGTCTTGTCTGAACTAGAAGTCCTTGCTTCTTGTTTTAATATCTGACAGCATGGGAAATGTATGAAGCAGTTTGACATCAGTTGTGATTCATACATCAGCTGTAGTAGAAATGACTTGACCACAGCATAAGTTTTGCATACAAGTGCTGTTTTGCCTTGTGATTTTAGATTGAATTCACTGAGAAACTATCCCCCCATAACAAACCAACCCAGCAAGAGAGAGGGTACCATTGGGGGGCAGCAGCAAATTGCAGAACACAGGTTCCATCTACAGAGGGCTGCCTGTACTCAGCTCCGACTACAGTCACGTAAGAATGTGGCCCAGTGTTGCCGGATGTTTTGTGTCGTCAAGAGAAGCCAGAAGTCTGATTTTTTCAGTAAGCTACTTAGTCAAAAGTTTTAAATACTGCACAGGTCAAACAAAACACAGGTTTGTAAGCTGGATCCAGCCCGCAGGTTTTCAATTCATTATGATCTTCCATACCTAGCACGTTGCCTGTTACACGGTGAGTGTTCAAAATGCTTATTAAAATAGCCGGGCAGGCAGTTGAGGGTAACACATACGTGACATAATTTAGAAATGTCCTCAGGTCAATATGCAAGAAATACCATCCTGACCGATTTGCTAGCTTGAGTGGCAACACTACCACCACAGGTTAAATGTGCTGAAGGATGCCTCGGGTGGAGAAAGCCTCATGCTTTTACTACCACTCACTGAACCACCTGTTCCACCATGAGCTGTTTGCACAGTTAGGGGCAGCCGTGGTTGATCCCACATCTGAATATGCCACTGGCATGTATAATTGAAAACTAAAATTGAATTATGCAGAGCAACAAAGATAGGATACAAAAGCAACTTTTTGTGTCTATAATAACTAAATTGAATACTTGAGAAAAACTAAAAAGGACACTAAAAACTTGCTTTTGAATGAGATGTGGACATGACAACATTAAAAAATATGGAGCAAAAAAACTGAGAATCTAGAAGGAGTCTACATTCATATTGCTTCACTAGAGCCTAAATCCTCATTCCACTTCACATAACCCAAACTGGAAATCAAAGATGTCACATTACAAGTGTGGTTTAAGCAGAAAAACATAACATAAAACTTCAATAAACAAACCCACGCACAAAGAAAAGACTTTGGACCTTCATCCAAACACAGACAAATCAACACATACATATATACTTAAAGTTATAAAAAAACATTAGCTTTTTATGACTCCTTGCTTCCACTGACTTTTCGGATTAACTGACCAACTAGAGTCCTAACTGAATCGTATGAGAGACCTTTGATAGGTAGCTCAGGTGACAGTCATTTGGACAAGTGCAGAAAATCTGAATGCAATGACCTTTGCTGATCTTTGCAGAGACTTCTCTGATAAAACTCTTGTGTCCTGTGACATGGAGGTGCTCTCATCTTTTGTGACGGGGGCATCGGCATCTTCTTTTCCTAAATTAAGGAGAGAGTGAAAAAGAGAGAAAGGAATCAGTTAGATGCATATCTATTAGGCATACGGAGTCACGGAGTTTTTAAATCCAGAGCACCATTTACTCTCAACTGCTCATTTTACAGAAAAGGAAACCCAGACCCACGGTGGTTAAGGGTCTTAGCTAAGGTCAGTCACATCACCAACCTGCATGAATGCTCTTACTCAGCAGGCCGCATTTGATCTATTTAATGTTATTCATATGCTAAGTGTCATATAAGCGGGAGTGTCAAACTATGTTGAATTGAACTAAATCAGCTGTGTCAAAATGCCAAACAAACTAGATGTGAAATACTGCCCCAGCCCACAATGAACAGAGATAGGTTAATTTATTATGCACATCTGCTGAAATCAAAATAAATGTTAACTTTTAAAACTACTTTGATACCAGCCATAACAAACAAAATGGTGGAAAATAGATTATATTTATTAAATAAATAAATAAATAAATAAGCCAACCCTAATTTTCCTGGCTTTTCTTAGTGACATTATATAAAGAGTAAAGTATTTAAAGGCTTTTAATGTTTAATTTCCTTTCTTAAGAAACTTATAAAATGCACATTCACCCAAGAAACTGAAACCACATCTCCCCAATAAAAAGAGAGTTAGGCTCTGTACCAGAAGTATTAAAACCACTCATGAATAAATGCAGCAAATTACACACTTCTGAACATTTAATATCTTGTATTTTCATGTGTTACTTTGGAGTTCCCCCACTAAATATCTTATCCAACCTTACTGGAGTTTCTAGATTCTAGGGGTCACAACAAATTCATGTGGGACCCACTCCAGATAGCTAAGAGGGACTTGCACTTATCATTTAGACATTACCAGGGCCAAAATAAATAAATAAATGAATCCTTTTCAGGGCTGGGTGGTTCTTAGCAAAGGCTCAACTTAAGGCCAATTGTTAGCATTCTGGGCATACTCTGGAAACACTGACATGATCTGACCTACTGGGGCTTAAGAATGATCATCTTAGGGGCGCCTGGGTGGCGCAGTCGGTTAAGCGTCCGACTTCAGCCAGGTCAGCGCGTTCGTGAGTTCAAACCCTCGTCGGAAGCTCTGGGCTGATGACACCGGAACCCTGCCTGTTTCACGATTCTGTGTCTCCCTCTCTCTGCCCCGTTCGTGCTCTGCTGTCTCTCTCTCTGTCCCAAAAAAAAAAAAAAAAAAAAAAAAAAAAAAAAGAATGATCATCTTAATCAGCTTAATGATCAGCTTAAATGATCAGCTTTTCTATCTATGCTGAAATATACCTACCATAGTGCCCACTGAAAGCAGAATTCTCATTGTTTTCTAAAAAGAAAAAATAAGCATGGCTTTCCCATTATTGGATCCTTACCTGTCCATCAGTAAAAGAGAATATTTACCTTTTATTTTAGACCATAGTTCAGGATTACAAGATCATTAGATGTTCCCAGAACAACATCTTTTATATTCTTGGGGAGAAAAAGAAAACACACACACACACACACACACACACACACACACACAAGTTGTTGATATGTTCCATAACATATCTTGCCAATGTGTTTTGCAGAACAAGGTCATTCAAGAAAGATTAAGAGGTTGGGACTACCAACAAACCAGTACACTCTACCTACATATCTGCTATCTGAGTTAATAGTCTCAAGAGTTGGCAATCAAGACAAGGTAGTGAGGGGTCTTCTCAGGCAGCCCAAATCCTGGGCATGCAACTTTCTGTCATAGTCGCTGATGCTTCCAACTTAAAATGACTGTTGCCTTACATTGCACCCCAACAACAAGAAAGTCTTCTGTTCCAAAGGTTATGCCAGGTTGCATCCAGAGAAAAAAGGCAAGCCATGGAAGTGAGCCCAATCATGATTTTCAGATACCACCCCTGAACATGACCTTTTCAGGTTCTGTGTTCATAAGGAAGTCCTGACAGAAATAAAGCTTTGTTCAAAGATGCATTCTAATAAATTAAACTGAAGTTTATAGCCCTGCAGGAGAGCATCACAGATACGTTCAATGAATGTGAAGAAACGCAATGCCAGGTTAGAAGAAAGGTGAATCACCTTAATAGGTTTCCAACAACTACGTCTTGCTACGCTAAATAGCAAAGTTGTCAGTTTAATGAGAGAACCTACTGCATTGTTTAATCACAAGATTCTTCATTTATTCATTTATTCCATGTGTATTTATTGAGCAAGGGGCATTAAGGATTCAGTGGTGAATAAAAGAAATATGGTTCCAGCCTTTACAGAACATTTAATGTATGAGTGATATTCGAATAAATAACCACTCGATAAACATAAAGTTATAAACTGTGATGAAGGCTAAGAAGGAAAGAATAGTTCCAAGGAGGAAGAATCCTCCCAATATGCAATTTAGACAAAGGGGTCAGGGAAAGGCCCTGTGTGGAAGTGACATTTAAGCTGAGACCTGAGGATGGTGCGTACAGGAGTGAAGAAGGGGACAGAAAACCCCAGGTGGGAAATGGCACTTGGGAAGAGGCAGACAGAGTGGAAAGTTCTGGCACAAACAAGGAACAGAAAGAAGACCGTGGAGCCAGAATGGAGCAAGCCCAAGAATGAGCATGGCAAGGGATGAGAATGAGAGGTAGCAAGAGTCAAGTCAGCTGGGGTCTTCTAGGATTTAAGCATCCTGAATTGAAACCTAAATACGGTGGGAAACTGGCTAAGGATTTTGCACAAGATGACACTGCCCAAGGTGCAGTTCAAGCAAGCTAAGAGTGGAACTAGGAAGGCCAGTTAAGAGCTACCACAGCAGTCCAGACAGGCGAGGACAGTACTACGATGCAGGTACTGCAGATGGAATTAAAAAGAACCACCTAAGACATATTTTGGAGTGGAACCAATAGATTTTGATGGTCACCAGATATCATTAACTATGAGAAGTGAAGGACTATTTCCAGCTTTCTGACATCGGCAGCTAGGTTGATAGAGACATCAACCCGGTACAAGAGACATTTCCCTGGTACAGGAAAGACTAGAGGAGTAATTTCTCCATGAAGAAATTACTAGAATAGGACAGGCTGGTAGTGCTCACAAGGGTAAAGGTTTTGCATCCCCATGGCCTTCAGTTTTGTCATAGTGAAGGCAGAGGTGGCCCATGCATTTTGTGGTCCCTTCTAGTTAAAAAAAATCTAGAAACTAGTGACTACCAAAAATTCTTCATCTAAAAGAGAGATTTTTCTAAGAAATAGATATAGTACACTAACAATAGCCCCCAAGAAATACTCTAGGAAGAAAAAGTCTAATCTCTTTCTATAGATAATCTGAAGCTTCTATTTTAAACATTTAAAAAATAAAAATGCCATGGCTTGGTGGGGTTGGCATTGCCACTTGACATCTATCAAGTGCAAACCCAACACCTGGTTTTGGTAAGAAAAATGGTCCTGATTTGGTCTTCTCATACATAAACAACAAACTGACAAGTCTAATGATAGTTAATGTTTTACAAACACATCAAAAGGTTTTCAGATGACTTAACTATAATGCCAAGTGGGGCAATGTGAAGAAAAAGGCAAGGAACTGGGCAAAAGGAGTTTCAATGTATCCATTTAAACAAGTGACAAACTGGCAGACCCAATCTTTTGTCATCTCTTGACAAAGGGCCACAGGAATTTACTATTTCCAACAAGAACTCAGTGAAAACTGTGATATGTATGAAATATGAAAATATTTCCCTTCAGATCTCTCAAAATCAAACAACCAGGGAAACTTATTTTATGGGCCCCTCTCCCCATGGAAACCTAGAAGCAGCAGGACAAGTCCTCCCAGGGGCAAGGAAACATTCATGTTATAATCATTTGCTATGCTGCAAGTTTGCCAGGGATGACATTGATAGTCGTCCCAGGACTCACATCCAGATCTTGCCAAGCCAAAGCTCAGGGGCAGCGATGAGTTCCCTCCTTCACAAATTGCAGCCCAACCAAGTCTCTCACTCTGAAATAAAGCTAATGAACTGAGTGGTGCCAGTTTTCACAGCATGTTCACACACATTACCTCATTTGCTCCACACCACAACTTCATTTTAGTTTCATCAAGGACACGGGAGTGATGAAGAGGCAGGGCCAGTCACTGACGTGCAGGGATCCTGGTGCTGACTGTGGTGACCAGTTCTCCATACAAGCAAGAATCAGAACATCATGGGAAGAGCCATGAAAACCTACATCAAGATATTTAAGTAGCTGGAACTAACTGAAATGCTGAAGTCAACCCAGTGAAGGTCTTGAACATCTGTGGAATATCAGGCACTGCAAATGGCCCTGTCTCTGTCCTCTGAGACTAATATGCTAGAAATGAGACAAAGATTCAAACAGTGAAAGTACATGGTGTTGGTAACTACTGGTAAGCAGTGTGCCCAAAGGCAGTGAGAAGGGAGCCAGGCAGCTTGACAGTAAACCTGAGTGAAACTGGCAAGACTGAGCAGGAGCTAGTTAGATGGATGGGCATAGGGAGCATTCCAGAGAGGAAGAGAACATGTGCAAAGGCACACAATCAAGAATAAATTGAGAAGGAGGAAGTTTCTATGTATCTAAACAAGTTGCAGGAATCAGACCACAAAAGGCTTTATGTGATATGCTGAAGGGTATGTATTTTATGTTATAGAAATGAAAAGTTATTGAAAATTTTGACAGTAATATAATCAGAGTTATATTTGATGAGATGTCAATGGTCAGTCTGTTGCTCCTTTGAAGTGAATCTGTCATTTTCTCTAGCTGCTTTTATGATTTTCTCTTTGCCTTTGGTTTTCTTGGTAGTTCCTCTTGATGTACCTAAGTCTGGATTTTCAAAAAATTCTACTTGTAATCACAGGTCATCTTAAATCTGTGATTTGGGGGGCGCCTGGGTGGCGCAGTCGGTTAAGCGTCCGACTTCAGCCAGGTCACGATCTCGCGGTCCGTGAGTTCGAGCCCCGCGTCGGGCTCTGGGCTGATGGCTCAGAGCCTGGACCCTGTTTCTGATTCTGT